GTCGAGTAGTGGCTGCCATCATTTTATCCCATGTTTGCTGGCAAGTCTTCTCTCCAGGAGCAGAGATCAGCCAAAACTCAGTCATGTTTTTTACACCGGTGGAGCTTGTATGAACTGAAACATATGACTTGTTAGACTTGAAATTGGGAAGTGCTTATGTTGCTTAGCAAGTATGAAAATACAAGTAAAAGTACGTTACTTTAGGATAGTAGTTTATTTTAGTGTTGTTTTTTTTTTAGGTTTTAACGCTGTTCAGGGTTTTTCATCTTGGCACTGTTTTCCTTTATACAATGTAGGTAATTGTATAATGGTTACCATAAAATCAACTATTTATATATTCCAACCTGTCTATTTCTGTGCAATTGCGATTAAGCAAAGCTGTAATGACATTTAAGGCACGAAATGTTGACAATAATGATTGTTAAGGTCAAGCAAACCTAGCTTATATTAGCCATCTTTTGCGACATCTTTCTGCTATCAGTAAGGCTTGTGATTTGTTGGTTTTACTCACAAATATTACTCACCTCTTTATGCCAAAATATCCAGTTAATATTCGGCTCTTTTTATGCGGTAAATGCCTGAGAATTGATCATAGTGCCAAGTGAAGACAGTTCGTGTGGTCTCCTGACAGCAGCATCAGAGTCAGCTGATCCTGCTGCAAAGAGGAACCGGAAGGCCTCAGTCACTGCACTGCCTACGGAAATAACGGCGCCCCTGCTGCTAAACAACGGGTACTACAGAAGAATAGTAAAAAAGACATATAAAGTTATTGATTGGATTGATCAATTTGTGCTTCTTTGGGGAACAGTAACTCAGATGTTACAGCGGTTGTCTTAAAACAGCAGGGTTAGCTGATTTTCTTTCGTAGCAAGACACCCACGCGGTTGAATATGGCGCGTGAATAGATGATGGTCAGTGAGGCCAAAACCGCAAATTGGCTTGGAGTTTTGATGTTCAGCCTCAGGGCAGTCACAGAAGAAGATTCAAGTCTAGAACGTGAATGATGAATAATAACACTTTGAGAAGCCAAGCAATCAAAGCATTATCAGCCTTTCACTTTACAGCACAGACATGCTACAAAGTTTATTACTGCCACTTATATAATGGATCAAGGGCAACTGAAGATACATAAATAACAATTTGGACAAACAGGTAACATTCTAATTAATTTATTTTGGTATAGTGTGTCCTTAGACATTTTAATAAAAAATGCTTGATGACATTATAATGACACAATGGATATATTGCGAATGAAACCATTAATCAGTCATTTCTGTCCACATTCCTTTGGCATAACTCTGGGGCATTATCCAAGAGCTGTGCACACTTAGGAGTACCTAAATTTGGAAAAGCTGGGTCAGGTTTCCTGACTTTGGGTGTCTCCTGTTCAGAATTTGAGGAAAACGCCCCCAATGGGACATGTTTATAGTTCAGTGGGTCTGGGGTGCATTGTTTGGGACACAATGGTTGAGCCGCCTGGAGCCAACCCTTGACATCAAACACAGGGTGAGTTTGCCCCTATCTGGAGCGCGGCCAGTCTGTGGATGTTATCGTTCAGGACAGACGCACTGTAATCAGTCTGGAGCCTTTGGCCCACTGCAGGGGCCGTGGCACACACACAAAACAAAGATTAAACAATAAATTGATTAGAAATTCTGACATAAATATGATAATTATAAAATAATTAAAACTTTAGGTCATCACACATCAATTAATTAATTTATCTTTTTTAGCACGTTCTTTTTATGGCTCATTCACACACCTTGTCCCATGTTGGTCCAGTAGCCCTGTCTGGAGGATGGTCTGCCTGCCAGCTGTTTGTACCCATGATGTTATTATTTTACCTATAGTTAACCTGCCCAGGGACTACAAGTGGAAATTTGCACTGGTGCTACAACCTGGTACAATGCACCTCTCCTGTTACGGTTAATGTATATTGTGCACTGTCCCTGTCTCATTAAATAAGCTAAACTAAACCTGTTACGATATACCATTAAACTTATTTATCTCCATGGAGACAAGCAGGTGCTGGTACCAGGCCAAATTACAGATCAGATCAGTGTGGAGAGATCTGTGGAGAGGTGATCTCATTCACAGTAAGACTGAATTTTTCCAAGGTATTTCTTTAGTGATAAGAGCACCTAAAATAAAAACAAGTTATGTTAGGGTTAGGGTTACCATACAGTTGTATATTCCAGGCAAAACAATAAAATCTCCATGTTGACAAACCAGTAGCGCACCCTTCACCAGAAAAAATAATGCACCTTTTAAGTGCTGCAGAATGAGACTTGATTGTGTGTTTATGTTCATGAACTGTATTTTCATTCAAGTAAGCAGAAGAGCAAAAGTCTACATCCTTCAGAACACATTTTATGGAAATGGTGAATTCCACTCAGAAGACACGTAAACGAAATGCCTTTCATAAAATCAGGATTTATGTCCAATGGATAACAAAGAGAGCACGAGGGCAAGCTACGTTATTGCTTAGGTTATCACCACATGGGCCTGAGGAAATTGCTAAGAAGTGGGTTGGGTTAAGGTGTAGACATTACTTTTAGATAAAGCTCCTATTGAGCAAATGCATTCTTTCTTGACATAACCCTCTCAGTTTATCCCAAAAAAGAACAAACAGTATGGGTACAAATAACAAGTGGACCAATGGACGTTTATTTACAAAAACATATGAAATGCAAGCTTCCCCTTTGGTCATTCAGGGTTAATCTCTGGTCTTTTTCATTAGGTAGCAGTGATGTAATCTGTTTGCAGTGTTTGCAAATAGGAATTCCTGGTGTACAATGCAGCCACTGGAGTATTTGCTTCAACTGTGGTGGGTGGTACTCATGTGGCAGACTCGCATACCCAGTAGATGTAGTGACTGGGACAAACAATGGAAATCAAACATTGTGCTTTACTGGAAGCCACTTTAGATGCTATGTGTGATTAAACATAGTACATAGCCTGTTTGTGACGGTGAAAGCACACACAAAACACGGAACAGCTTTTGTAATATGGACCATGTGCAAGCCTCTACAATGGGCTAAATAGTTTTATTATTACTGTTATTGTGGTCCCTTCCCCAAGGTGTACTTACAGTTCTCCACAACATATTTATGTTGATTAAACACTAAGGACATAGGCTAGAATCCCATTTCTTAAATTTGTAGATTAGCATTATATCATCTTCTTCCTATTTCACTTTGATGCATAGGCACCCATAACAAAAAGTATACAGCATGCCACAGGCCCTATAGCCTATTTAGTCGGAGAGGAACCACCTATTCCCCCTGGGTTGTGTTCACACAGCAGCAGGGGCTGAAGGTGTGTGAACATGATCAAATTTTGTATTACTAAGTGCATATGGCATGCTAGACTACTCATTTCACTAAAACTTTGTGAAGATCATTATGTTTCAGATTTGACAAATCTTGCCTATATTTTTTTCTATTTTGACAATTATATCATTTTACTTACACTTACAGTGCATACAGGTAATTTCATAACTGCATGCACTGTAATGAAATTTCATAACTGCATCCTTAATAAGGGCCAAAACTAAACAAAATGAAAACAAAATTACACAATAATTATGATTAGACAAATATCTGTTAACATTAAAACTACCACTAAATGACATTACAAGGTGGAACAAGGTGCAGACTAATAATCCAGGATTACTCAAACTTGTGTGAATGAAACAAAACACAACTCCAGGGGTGTTTTTGAGGAGGTAAAGCATTATATTACAACTAAGAGCTGCCATGTGTCAGTTTTGCGTAATATATGACCTTTAAGTAGCAGTAAACAAAAGGGTTTTTATTATTTTTATTTTTATTTTTAGGTTTCTACTACCAAAAAGTTCCTGGTCTGACTGAAATCTGCTCCAGAGCAGGAGCAAAAAAAAAAAAAAAGTCCCTATACTCTGCATGAGGTCTTTGCATGTGTTTCACCTCCCTCTCTTAGTTGGCCTTTATGGATGCTGTTAGGCCTATTTTGTGGCAGCTACTAAAATTATATGTCTAACAATATATTTCTTACAACTTTTAATTGCATACTTTTATTATTATTATTATTATTATTATTATTATTATTATTATTATTATTATTATTATTATTATTATTATTATTATTTATCAATCAATCAAACTTTATTTATAGAGCTGTTTACAACACTCAAGGTGACGAGAGTGCTTCATATTAAAACCGACACAAAATAAAAACATAAAAAAAACCATTAAACAATAAAATAAAATAAATTGTGCAAAGTGTCACTCTATTACTTGGTGTTAAAAGATATTGCTATAATTAATTATTATTACTATATAATATTGCACATACTCCAGACTATTATTAATTTCTATGAGTACATATTTGTTGATGTGGAGTTAAACAGTGAGTCCCCTACCCAGCTCAGAGTGGCTGCATGTAGTTGCGCCCTCCTTCACCATTGAGGAGGGAGACATGCAAATTTATCGTCCTGAGGGAAAAAAAAAAAAAAAAAAAAAGCTGCTTGGGCACTGCTTTTTAAAAGGCAGAGACAACGTCTGAAAAATCCAAATGACTCTAGATTTAGGCAACAGCAAGCAACATTGCACTTTTACTCAGACCCAACTTACAGACCACAGTAGCATGGAGCTAGGAATGAAGACACAATATTTTGGAAACTTAAGATGACATTGGAAAGAAAAATGGAGTCACAGGGCAGACGGTAGGAGTTGACAAATCCATTATTTGGATTGATTTGGGTGATAATTCTAAGCTCTTTGCTCTAAATTCGCTCGTTTCGCACTTCTGAGACTATACACCACTGTCTGTATATGTACAAATAAATAATGAATGCACTGGTGTATGATGATAAATTGGTAGGCTTTATTATTAGTTTTATGAAATCCAAAGTTAGTAGCCCTTTATTGTGAAATGTGTTTATTGGCCGGATATTGCTGTTTCCCCGTGTTGCCTTGACTACGGTTGCCCTGGTGTCCGTCAGTCGTGTCGCGCTCGGTCCGTTCGCTGTCGGTGTCCTGCGCTCCCTGCGATCTGCGACCATCAAAACCCTTGAAACGAACCCGTCCATCACGTTCATGGCAGCTTCAGTTTTCTCCTTGGTCTTCACATAACTCTTTAAAAATTCCGCCCAAAAGAAAAAAGCGTTCTGTCCCGTTTTGCGGGTTTACTGCAGATGTAAGTACCGTATGCTTAGCTTAGCGTGTGGTTAGCCTCATCCATAGAGCATCATCCATCATGTTGTTGACAACATTTTTTGACGGTATTTTTTATTTTATTTCTAAAACTATATGTAACTATATGTTATTTGTGTCGTTAGGTTATTTGCCTTGCCAGCTAACGTGATGATGATATGCAGCATCATGTCACCTTCATTAAACCACTTAAAGCTGCTACTATATAAAAATCGTATTATAACAATATTTTTAACGCTTTTAACTTTATGTAAGTTTTTTTTTTTCATTTTGTCAAATAAAGAAGCTGCATCAAACAGTTCATAATCAAACTTGTATGTCCAGTGTACAAACCTTTGCAATACATTTCTTTTTTGTTGTTGTTTTTTTGTAAAAATTTTGACTTGAGAAAGGGACATTAATGTCTTCTACTATATTAACTGTATTGAACAATAAATACATAATAACAGTTATCTAAATTAACCAGTTTCCTGTTCTACAGGTGTACAACAACTATCCCGAGGACCTAGGGGCAGCTCTTTACAGAGAACTGTTTGACTTCAACGCCGAGCCGCCTTGGGATCCTAGCTGATAGTGGACGAGTTCTTCCCCGGACTCATCCATGTGAGTCAGCTAATGTTACTGTTACTGAGCTGAAGGTTAATTATGTTAAACAATTAATGTAAGTGCAGTTGCTTCTAGTATACAAATAAAACATCTCCTCATACGTCACAAAAAACAAAATTAAAATAAAAAAAAACATCAAGAGGAATAAATTGATAAAATTGCCAAGAGCAGTGGCCTAGTTAAGTCAGAAATGGCTTGTACTTCAGATGCTGCACAAATCAGATCTATTTTCAGAGATTCTATTAAAATGATTGTCATACTTTCTTGACAACATTTGTATTGGCTATTAATATCTCAGTCTAAATCATTACAGATGCACTATTTACACGACAAAAGTGGTATGCTTTTGTAGTGATGGGTTTGCCACCTGCTTGTCTCCATGGAGATTTTATTGCTTTGCTTACAGGTGTTTTATTGCTTATAAAATGCCTTTATACAGACATGACTAGGGCTGTAGTCCTTCAGTCTCTTAGTCAGTTAATCGGCTGATGGAGTTGTCTACCAAACTTTGTCTTAAGGCTACACACTACAGAAGAATTTGCCTTATGTTGGCTGCCAGTTGCTTCTCCCCAAGTTCAGAGAGGCATGACCCGACTTTGTGTCTTCGTGTGTGGTGTCATTGTGATTCTGAGCTGCTCTAACATATATCGTAACTAAACGTCAGCTACGCTACGTTAACAGCGAATAAAACAGAGTGTCAGGGCAGAGGAGTGATGGACACAGAGGCACAACATACAAACAGGAAATAGTGAAACACTGTAAATATAAAATTCAGCATCTCATCCACATTGTCCATAGAATTTGTCCTCTACAAATAATAACACCCAGTCCACAAAACAGTGCTGTGAATCCAATTTGAAGATTTCTTTAAAAGTAAAAAGGCAAGAGTAGTTCCTCACATGTGTCTGTTTACATTCACACCGCGCACAGATCGAGGTGAAGCTGCAGATAGTGACTCTGCTTCCTGTGTATCATGTATCTGAAGTATTCCACCACATTTCACAAATAATAATAACTCAGTTTTGGCTTGTATCTAAACTAGTGCAGTGCTCTGATCTTTTGAACACACAACAGAGTCTCAAAGCAAGTGGTTTTACTGTAGACAGGAAACAGCTGACACGAGGTGCGCTCACAACTGTGTAGCTTGTGGTATGCAGCCATATCCCACTGTAGTCTTTGCGATCAGAGATTTTAAATCTCATTAGATTCTCCTTGTGTCTGTGATGTGCGCTTTTTGCCACATGTTTAAAAATCGCTTAAGACCGAAAATTCGTAGTGTGTGGCGGCCTTTAGTCAACTAATTACTTTATTTTGAGTTTTATATGGAGGATTTATATGCACAACAACAGAACGGGTAACTGAAGATTTGGAAGTGAATCATGAGTTTCATCTGTCTTTTTTTATATACATACAGTATTTCCTAGTACTATTCTGTTTAAATAGTTTTTTTTGATGAACTGTTGTGCAGTTGTTGTCTTCTGCATGCAATTTATTTCAGATATATAGAGATGTGTAATAGTTTTGAGAGCTTTTTCCAAGTCCCCTTTTTAGTCAACTAATCAATCAACAGGGTATGTTTTTAGCCGACCAAGAATTTCTTTAGACAGCTACAGCACTAGATCTGACCTGTAACTTGGCCTGGTGGCAATAAATGCTTGTCTCCATGGAGATAGATCATTTTAACAGATATAATACATATCACAATGTCATGATTCAATATATCATGATATATCCTGATATTAAACCAAAGGATGGTATATTGTGATTTATCAATAATTCTGTATAATATTGTGGTCAAATACACTTTCACAAGAACTTGGATACTGGATGAAAAATAAAGTATTTGATTTTTAAATCTTGAGAATTGTAAGTGGAACTTATGAATTTTTCATGCACAAGACTTCAAAAAATAGATTCTGACACATTTTGAATCAATATGAGCCACGCAATGAAGTATTGCAGTATATCAATTAACTGATTTTTTTCTTGCACCCTTAATCTTCATGGAGATGAGCAGTACTCCTAATTGCCACAAGAAGAAATTTCTTTACCACACCGTGAGAACCACTGGCTAGTGGAACAAACTCTCTCTTCTGTACTCTCCTCATTTAACCTCTAGGTTAACTGTAGTCTCACCTACAGCTTGTACAGCTTGATGACGCATGCAGCAACGTTACTGGGAGTTAGGTTATGACACTAGTGCCGCCACTATTGTACCTTGACTAATGCTAGGACGAAAAAGAATGATCACGGGTCAGCAGCTATGGAGTACTGGTGATTGTTGGCTGTAATTGATGGCAAACTGTTTGAACCCGGTGGCCCAGACTATGTGTTTGCATAGGCTTTTCAGAAGAATAGCCTCTTCCACAAAGCTCTCCCATAACGTTGAAGCATCTCTGCCCTCTGATTGGAAAATGACTTTTGAAGTGTGCACATAGTTTCAGATCAGATGGATGCGATGCATAAATGTAGCAGGATTAGTGCTAGTGCTGAAATGTCCAGAGGTCGAACAACGAGTTGCATTTAAGTAAAAGATAAAAAGTCAAGCTTTGTTTAAAAAGAACTTTTTTTATTATGCATGAAAATTACACAAGTTTCAATTGTTGTGAAGTATTAACAGTTATATGTCTGATTTACTTTGATAGTTTAACGCATCGGCCAAGGACCCAGGGGCTCGACAAGGAGTAAGCGTGACTACTTTGTACCAATCATATTCTTTATGCCTGTCGGATTAGAAGAAAACGGCTGAGAGGATGAAAGGAATTGCTGATGAACCACAGTACTCTATTGGCCTCTTGGAGGGAGGCACAGCTCTGTGTGATGTGATCGACAATCATATTTATGAGCAATCTCTGGTAAGGCTGATATTTGAAAACTGGTGTTTGAAAATTGGTATTACTGTATAAAACTAGTCCGTTTTTTTCTCACAGTCCAAGAAGAATGCTTTCTTTGTAGCTGACCTGGGAGTTTTAGTTAGACAGCATGTCCTCTGGCGAACTCACATGACGCAGATTCGTCCTTTTTACCCTGTCAGGTGCAACAGTAGTCCAGCAATTATTGAGGTCCTAGCTGCTCTCGGCACTGGCTTCCTGTGTGCTAATAAGGTACTATACTACTTTCTACATTACAGGCCTGTTGTGATTTCATCTGAAACCTACCAGCTGGTAACTTTCTTTGTCTTTCAGTCTGAACTGGAGCTGGTGCAGAGCCGAGGCATCCCGCCTGAAGATATTATCTACAGCGGTGTTTGCAAACAGGTTTCCCAGCTAAAGTACGCTGCTAAGAATGGCATTGACCTTCTTATGTGTGACAGTGAAGTAGAACTACGAAAAATTGCTCGTTCCCATCCCAATGCAAAGTATGTATTTATCTTTTTGTCTCAGCTGTTAATATGACTTGATACACTTGAAATATGTATTGTGGTTGTTAGTGCAGTATTTTTTGGTTTTTGTGCAGGTTGTTACTTCAAGTATCATCAGAAACCTCTTATCCAGATGAAATGAGCATGGCTTTTGGCTGTTCCCTCAAAGATTGTAGGCATCTGCTGGAAAGTGCCAAAGAGCTAGGTGTGCAGGTGGTTGGAGTCAGGTAAAACTGATCATGTCCTATATCTTTATATATTTGAATGGGTGTGTGTGCTTATTCTCAGTTATTCTGTTTATCCCTCAGATGTCACATTTCCAGCTCCTTAGATGATGATGTGTACATTCATGCCATTTCAGATGCCCGTTGTGTATTTGATATGGGAGTAAGTAATATACTGTACATTCTATTATGTTTTGACCCATAATTTTTCTGATGGCCAGTACCTCTGTAATAACTTTTTAATAATAAATATTCTAAAGAAAAATTCACATGCAGAGGTATTTAGGTACCAGATAATTTATCCCACTCTATTTATGCAATCATTTCACAAATCCTTCAAGTTAAGAAAGCTATAATATTTTAATATAATCCAAAAACCAATATTCAATAGATATTTGGTGTAATAGGCCTCTTTCTTTTTTTACAGGAGGATATTGGATTTAATATGAAGATCTTGGATATTGGGGGTGTCTGCTCAGTTCAACTTAATAAAGTTAGTGCATAGTTAATGCCCTCACACTAAAATTGAATGAAGCTGGAAAATCAAATCAAGCTGTGTTACCAAGATAATATGCTTTTTCAGATCAAAAGTACAGTCATGGCTATGGTGGAGCTCTACTTTCCTCCTTCTTCTGGAGTTTCTCTCATTGCTGAACCTGGCAGCTATTTTGTATCCTCTGCTTTCACCCTGGCCGTCAATATAATTTCAAGGGAGATGGTGGCTCGGGACCAGCAAGACCATGGTCAGTTGCATTCTATTAAATGTTAGGCCTTTTGAAATTGCTTATTGACATTAAGAAATTCTCTGTCACCTCCACAGATGACCCTTCTCCAAATGATGAGCAAGCTTTCAAGTATTATATGAATGATGGTGTCTATGGATCATTTGCTGGCAAACTCACTGAAACATTGATCACCACACCATCTGTCCACAAGGTACCACTAATGAATATGTAATAACTACATTGAGTATTTATGGACTCTATTACTGATATATCTAAACATACTAAGTTATCTGCTCTTTTCAGAGCACATCTGTGGATGCCCCAGTGTTTTGCAGCAGCCTGTGGGGTCCCTCGGGGGATGACATGGACCAGATCGTGGAGCACTGCCTCTTGCCAGAGCTTAATGTCGGAGACTGGCTCTTATTCAATAATGCTGGTGCATACGGCTTGGGTCAGCCAGTTTGCACAGAACCGCATGACTCCTCGACCCCTCCTGTGTTTTATGTCATCTGCTCAAGAGAGTGGTAAGATGATATGTAGGCCAATTACTTTTAACAACTAGTATTTTCGTTTGGACTGATGGTTTTTGGGCTTTCTGGATCTTGTTAGCTTGTGAATCCAAAACACAGTTTTGTTGTGAATGTTTTAGTTGACAGAAAAGGTTCTGTTCAGTATTGATTTCAGTATTATTCAATAATAAATACATTTCATTTGATCTCTTTCCAGGTTTGAAATGCAGGACACTGGTGTCACCCAAGAGACTTCTCTGAAGAACTTCTCCTTAATCCCTTACTTTTTGAATTCCTGCCAAACAGCCGCTGCATTCTCTGTTCCAGCTTAGCAGTTGCCCTACATTGAGGCTCTAAACTTTGACTGGTGTCAGTCTGCTTTCTCTGGCCCACATTCCACTTTTTTGTGAAAAACCAGCAGGTAGAGCTTGCTGTGAATGTCACAATAAATGTACATTCATTTCTGTATTTTGCGCTTGTTTGGAAATTAAATGTTGAGCAAAAAGCTTGTAACAAAACTGAGAACTTACATTATAAGCAGTCCTCATTACAGTTAATATCTTCAATAGATTATATTATGAGCTACAGTTATTTATTTCCTTTGCTGTTTGCAGTTTTGTCCATTTACATGAAGTGCTGTATATCACTTGTTGTTTTTATAATTTATATTGTTTTTTGTGTGTTAGGCTACAATGTGAACCTCAATAACTTCATACAACTCATATTATGATTGTAGTATTTTGATTTAAGATTACATAGTGTTATGATAATGTTGACAGTTACACAATTGGACTGAATGCAACTGATGTGCAGACTTTCAACTTAAAAAAAACAACATTTTATTAAAATAGGTGTTGGAGAATTTTTGCAAGAGACTTATTTCAGTTGTAGCATACAATTTACATAATACATTATGCATTCTGTATTTAGTGCAGTAATGGAAATTAATGTGATAATAATCAAAGCATAGAGTTGTTAATTCTGATAAAATATTCCTGTCTGCTTGGGTGTGAATTATGAAGCAGTGTTAAGGGTTCACTATTGAACTGCTGCTAGGCCTAGACAAAGTAAGCTATATTATTCAGTATGTTTTCAGTGTATTCAGTGATGTAGACAGGAAAAAGTGTTTGATGTGTCATGAACCAAACATTAACCTCAAGCTCCCTTTTGCTGTTGTATTGTTGGTTATTTATATTTGTTAAATGTTGTGTGTTAGTACATGTATAATAAGATTTGTGTCAATGGGCATATTTAATAATTAGAGCATTGGCTGTTACTGAAGCTGTTGCTTGTAATAAATAATAATAAACACTTGACAAAACTACACTTAACTACACTTGTTTATTCATGACCAGACCGCAGACAGTGTGTTAAAATAGTGAAAGCAAATATAAACATGCAAGCTGATGTAACAACGTAACAACAACAAAAAAAAGCTCAATTGAGCAGTCCAAATAAACCCTTTTGTCTATTTTTGATTTTTATACAAATAATAATTCATGAGTTTAATCATAATTTGTTAGCCCACAACAATTTACAAATAACAAATATATGCTTTATAGAACAACTGTTGATGAGAGTGTAGTGTAGTGCAAAAGAGCTATCCACAAAAGAGATCAAAATAAAAAGATATAGTTTAATGTTATAATCAGTTAATTTATTTGCTTAAACTATAGTGCAGTTGTCATGTGGGACAGAGGTAGTACAGCAGATTAGAAGAATTTGGTGTGTCTAGACTTAAAGCAACACAGATCTGGAACAAAAGGGCAGCTGTGGAGGCAATACCTTTACTCACAGAGATCTGTCACTGTCTCTCTACCTCCTATGCAGGGATCTTCCTCTAAAGCAGAGCCAGAAAAAAGAAAAATACTGTGTAAAATGATTTAATTAACCTTAAAAGGTAAGTTTTAAAATAGAGGGTCTGAAACCTGTTTGCATGGAATAATCCACAAATTTGCACATCATTTAGCAATCTGTACAAGAGGTGAAAAATATTTTCCCATACAAAGCCATGCAATTTTCATGAAGCAGGTGCAGAACCTCCACAGAAAACCTATATATTCATAGACCGTGCACCTTTAAATTGTATGAAGAAAGCTGGATTTTATAAATTTTTACTTTCATATATTGTACCCTGAAAAGTTACATGGATTGCACTGTTTTAGTTTAATCTATGGTATCTCTGTAAAGTCATCTTGAATATCAGAGTCTTATGGCAATTCCTGCACTACCATAATTCTGTACTGGAATTTTTAATTCTGTACTGGAAAAACCTCAAAGTTGTAGGCTTTTGCAATGACTTGAGAGAAATGTTTATACATGGTTGAAAATAGATTATTGCATTTACCCATAAGGTGCTTGTTTTGTCATCCATAGAGCGGGGGCCAGGTGTGAGCTGACCGGATAGAAATGGACACTGGGCAGAGCAGTGTTCGCAGCTAAAGTTGAGAGGAGTTATTTTAAAGTTCTACTCTCTCCTGAAGTGGTGCTCACATTACGTCGAAGAATTATCAGCCCTGTGGTCTATGGCATTGAAGACCAAGTAACATACTGTTCATGATACTAATATTGGGTATACAGCTGTATTTCACGAAAAATAAATAAATAAATAAAATAAATAAATAAATAGCATACATAAAATTCGACTTTATTGATCTCAGTGGAGAAACTCATTTGTCAATAAAGAGCAAAAAGTAGTAATAGAATTAGAATTAGGCTAAAGTGAAGAAAAATACAGACAAAACAGGAAATACAGAACAAAATTAAGTAAACAATACAGAAACAGCAGGCGCAGAAAAGGCACCAAAAGTAATTGAAAAATAATAAGATAAACCTGAAAAAAGTCACTGAAATGTAACAACATAAACCGGAAACCTATAAAACTATAAAGTAAGCATAGCCTATACCTCTATACCTACCTGTAGCAGCAATGATAAATACCAATAAAGAGTAAGCCCTACGGTTATGATTCCCCAAATCTTCTGTATTCTTTCTGCACTTCTGTCATGTGTAGGTCACATGTAAATTCTGCCATCTGCTGGTAACAGAATATAATATTCTATCTGTGAAGAATCACTTCGAACCATGAGTAGATTTTTATTTTTTCAAGGACAAAGTTTAAAATACATTATAATTATAAAATAGATTTAAAATAGACAATTGGGTTTATTTGTCTACATAAAACTGTAGGCGACTTGGAAGCTTCAACCTCTGTCAATTGTTTTACTAACTAAAGCATACGCACAATAGTAGGCTGTGCTTTATGCAGAATCTTTTCTAAATTTTGTGATTATAACTGTTTCACTTGTTATTAAAATTGCAGACAAATTGGGAATGTTGCTGTCTTTAAAGAGAAAACAGTGTAGGCTTAATAAGGTTTCAACCTGACGGGATAGTTGCAAGCTTCTGTATCCAAGTTACTGAAGACCACATAAGGCCTGAGCTAGCTTTGTCTAAGACTGAAGATGCCTTTCTTCCCTGGGCCAATTTAACACATTTCCTGTTTGTGCTGGAGTCCAGTGGCAGAAGGCTGCATGTGCGCTCATCAACACAGAGGAGCAGGGAGCAGCCTGGTGGAGTTAAGATGGCGGCATGTGGCTGAAGAGGCTGGGGAAAACTACTCTCGATCGCCATTTAACGACTCATATGAATTCATATAAATACTGTGTTGGAAAGAAGAACTGTTTCTTATATCGTTCACGAATAAGTGGGTGATTTTGAACTGGCCATATGACATCTATACACTTTGTGGTTCACCCGCTCCCCGGGACCGAGGATCAGCTCAATGACAGGTATTTGTAGTAGTCAAGAAATAAAAAAAAAAAAAGAATATTTCTGTTCATTATGCGCTAACATATATTCCACCTAATTTGTCCCAATGGTCTTGGTAATGTCACATGTTAGCACGGGGATTTACACGCATTAAACCGAAGAAAGGGTCGCTAAAAGGCCCGGTATGTTGAACAATCCTCGTTAGCTTGCCGCTACCCAAACAGTCGGTACAGCATTTGTTAGCCGCTAACTGGCTACAGGCTACAGTGCTAGCACTGGGACCGTACAGGGTTGGCTCACAGTCAAAGTTGAGATAGACAATGCGGGTTGGGGGATGGGGTAAAAAAGAATAAACGTCGTGAAACACCATTACACTAGGAATAGGGCTCTTTACTGTTCAATTGAAATGTACTGTAATTTCACATAACTGTGGTTCCTTTGAGGGTGACCTATTTATTTTCACGATCAATGAGTAGGCTTGGCTAACGTCAGCCCAGTGTTAGCTGCGTGCTAATGCTAAGAAGAGAGCGTTTCCAACATACCACGCTGTTGACAAATGTGTGTTGTTTTGGCCTTTGTAGCTGTAGTGTATTTTGGATCCTTAAGGACAATGTTATCCTCACAGAAATATAAATGTTTATATTTTATGACAAGTTGCACTGAAAGAGATGCGCAACTCGACATAACCTTAGTGTTTTTGTATGATGATCCAGTTAGCTCTTATCACATCAATCGAGCGTCAGAAAGAAGCTATATTGATCACTATTTGAAACTGACCGTAAGACGTGCCTGCTTAGTCTGACTTCATAAGTGAGACCAAATTCCCCAATGATTTGCCTTCCATTAGTGGGTGGTGGCTGTATTGGTTTGGTCATATCTCGATGAATAAATGTCTTTAAAAAGGAGCCTGAACCGGCGAGACAGAGTGTGAGCTGTATTTACTTAGGTCAAGTGATTTGTAATAAACCTATTTTTATCCCCCACTAGGATAGATCAGATTGATGAAGTGCTCCACATAAATACAAAGAGGTTGAAAAGTCATAGTGTTTTACAATGACCTTGAAATTATGCTGTGGTTGTACATATCTAGAAAATACTTGTTTAGTTGACAAAAAATGCTTGTTGTACAATCCACTTAGACATCTGTTTAATATAGATCATCTCCATTTGAAGGAGGTCTTGACAGTATCATCCTTGGACATGCATGCCTGCGCCTGCTACAGTCACCATGTGCTGCCACCCCCCCTTCAGTCTCTTCTCTGTGAAGGACTTGTACTTGTCAAAGCTGTACTGCTGTCTGAAATAACAAATGGTCTTGATTGATTCTGGCACTTGTCAGGTACAATAACTCTGTCAAGTGGGTTTTAGGCTGAGTGAAGCAGACTTCACACAAATATTTTCAGAAAAGTAGTACTGTCCTGTTATGTGCTGTCATAATTAATCCTTAGATATTAGTGGTCTTATATTGTTTTGCTCCTTGTTGAAATTAAATCTATGAGAGATAAGTGGACAAAAATGGGACGCATGAGATAATTGGTTGTATTAATGCCTCATTAACATGATATTGAAATTTATGTCATTCTCCTTAATTGTCCTACTTATTGTATTAGACAGTAGAGTGCAAGCTGTATTTGAGCTGAAGGCCAATAATTTGCCTTATAGTTTATCATGGTGGTTATTAGTTTGTTTTTTCTGACATCACGGCAATAGTGCTCAGAATGACATGTTTTTAAATAGCTGAACTTGCTCAGTCAACACAATATATTTAACCATTCCTTCTAAGTTTGCAGCCCTCTTTACTGTTTATCTCCTTGCATAAGCTCTGTACAATGCCCTTGGTGCTAGGGGCATGAGATAGCCATGCATTTTGTTTTGCACTGAATTTACAATGAGTAGTTATGCTAAAAGCAAAGCAGATTAGATCATCAGATAACATTTTTCATAAATACCAGCCATTTTAATGTTTGCGTTTTTTCTGTTTTTGCAGACTTCGTGAAGTTTCTGAGAAACTCAACAAATACAGTTTTAACAGGTAAGTTGTACTATTTTATACCAATATACTGGATCAGTGACTACTATTTACATATTTTAAATGATGTCAACTTCATATTACTGGTATACATATTATACATATAGGTACAAGTGCAAAAGTACAAAAAGTCTGAAAATATTAAGGATAGAAAGTGATATTGTGAAGTGTGATAGCTTGTACACAATCAAAATATATACAGCAGAGGGGGGTACAATTGTGGTAGCAAAATAAAGAACTTACTCCTAATTATACTTGTATTCTCCTGCAGTCACCCACACCTCAGTCTGCTTGAGCAGGCTTCCCTAAAACAATGTGTTGTGGGCCCAAACCATGCAGGATTTCTCCTTGAGGTAACATTGTAAATCCAACACAGTAAGATTATGTTTTTTTTTTATGGTCAGAATTCATATGTTTATTGCCTCTTTTTCAGGATGGTCGAGTTTGTAGAATTAGCTTTGCAGTCCAGCCCGATCGCCTGGAGCTTAGCAAACCGGATGGCAGCGATGGGTGAGACTTCAAAT